GAGATTGCCACTCAAAAGGCTGACAAGAACCAGCTAACTGGTATGGCTGTACGTTACCTACGTAAATGCAAATTCCTCTCAAACGGCTATTACTCCGCGGCTAGCGATGAAGACGACGAGGAGTCAAAGTCAGATGTAATTCAGGTAAAGTGCATATAATTTTGGCATTACGTTAATTCAGTTAATATAAATTCATAAATCTTTTAGCTTAATTTCAAGGAGATCAACGATATGACCACAACCTTTATTGAAACGTTTGGTAATTTCCCGGTGCTGTATGACAGTTCACTGCCGGATTTCAAGTCGTTAGAGGCACGAACCGAGGCGTATGTTAAGATAGCGCAGATGCTCGCGCCAGAATTGCGTGTCAACGAAACTGAAGTTCATCTGGCCATCATGAGATTGCGAAAATGGACCTATATGACCCTGCGGCGCGTCAAGTCAAAGGAATTGCGTCGTGCTTGCACCAAAACGGAGCTACATTATCTGCAATTGTGTAGCTTCCTGCCGCCCAGATCAGAAAGCCTCGTTATTAATTGTGAATATTGCAATAAGCGTTTCTTTATCGACTATCTTCTCCGTGCGCACCTGGTAAAGGTGCATGATGTGGGCGAGCTACCATATCTCTGCTCCCAATGTCCGCGTCGTTTTGAAAAGGCCCACGACATGGAACGGCACAAATTGCGGCAGCATTGTGAAAAAATGCTCAAGTGTGAATACTGTGATAGCACATTTGCATTGAAAAATGACCTCAATGTACACATACGTGTGCATACGGGGGAAAAGCCGTACGTGTGCGAGCTATGCGGCAAACCCTTCCGGCTAAAACTTTTGCTTGACTACCACATAAATGGCTTCCATCTGAATCTTCGACCATTTGAATGCGATATTTGTCATCAAACATATCGCAAGAGAGTCCAGTTGAAAAACCACATGAAGGCCCATTTGAATATCAAGGATAAGAAGTGTGACGAATGCGGTGCAGCGTTCACCTGCCCGACCAGTCTTTCTCGGCATCGCAAGACCTTTCATAGTAATACAAAATCACAAAAATTATGCTAAAAAAAACTCCATTCCTCCTCTGCTTGTTAAATCTAAATAAATATTACTAATAATATAAATAAACGTTAAACATTTGCGCGCGTATGTAAAGGATTTTATTGTTAATGTCGCTGTCCAACACTTAAACAGCTGATGACTCTTATCGATAACACATTCTTTGATCAACCATCTGAAGTTGCAACAATTAAAATTTGTTTATGATTGTTTATATTAAATAATTAACTGCATATAAATGTGGTAAATATGTTGAAAATGGTGATTTGTGGAACAGTCCTGGTGCGCAATAATTACGAAGAGTTTGTTTTGAGCTGTGCGTATTGCAAAACTGATTGCGACGTGGAAGTGAGCCTCGAAAGATGGCAAGAATTCGTCTATCATATAAGAAATGTGCACAAAGTGGAATCGGATGAGGACAAAATTTCCTGTCACAGCAGCCTGGAGTTCAAATCAGAGGCAATGCCAATTGAAAGCGAAACCGATGTTGAAGATGATAATGAAGTTGATAACAAGGATTGTTTAGCTGAAGCAGCATTTGTGGATTTGCCAAACGCATCGACCGACAGAGAAGACGATTACGATAGCGAATACGAGTATGATGAGGAGGTAAGTCTTAATACTGTTCAAACACGCAATATAAATAAATAAATTACTTACGTTCAATTAGATGGCAGTGGAATCTGAAGGCGATGCTTCTAGAATCGACGCTGATTGCATCAAAAAGAGCTTTACACCAACCGTGAAAGTAAGCACTTTAATCTATTTGCTTAAGGAAAACTCAATGATTTAAAAAAGTTATATTCCACATATAAATGTATTTAGTTTAATCCCACATTTTATCGACGCAATCCACGGATCACGCAATTCATTGAACTCTATAAAGGACATCCTTGTCTCTGGGATCCCAAGAACTCTTCGTTTAAGGACAAGGAGAAACGCACAGCTGCCTACGCTACATTAATTGATCAGCTAAAAACTACCATAAATGTTCATCTTACTCATTACAAGCTTAAGAAATGTATAGCCAGCCTCCATAGCCAGTACGCGACTATAAGCCGTCAGAAGCGTACCAAAAAATTAACAAAATTACCTCTGTATTATCATGAAATGTATAGTTTCCTAGGGAAACGCTGTGATGTGGACGAGGCGGAGAGCGATATTGAAAGCGGCGACAACAAAATTAAGGTTAGTCAGACTTGAAGAAAATATTTCCATTTATTGTAAAATTATTATCTTTTGGATAGTTGGTGTTTACAGAAACGAATCAGCTGACAACACACTTTATAGAGCTGTATTCGAAATTTCCACAATTGTACGATCCGGCGCACAAGGATTTCGCCAATCTAAATGTTCGCAAATCAGCCTACATAGAAATGACTGACCTGCTGGCCACAGAGATCCCCCTGGGCATTATTACCCACTATGATGTTTATGACAGTGTGCTGTATCTACGGCAATGGTATTCCCGCAAAATCAAAGGCCTCACGGAGACGCAGACGATCGGCTTATTAAAGGCTGAGAAAAGTTACATCGAGAAATGCAAGAGTTTCCTCAGAACGAAAACATTCCGCCAAAAAATACCGTGTAACGTGTGCCAGACCAGCTTCAGCACGGATCACGCCCTGCAGGCGCACCAGTACAGAGTCCATAAGTTGGGTGACGGCGGCTGGTTTAAGTGCAGCTGTTGTGAGAATCATTTCGAGCGACGTTGTCATCTACAACAGCACAATCAGCGCGTGCACATGGGCAAGACATTCAGCTGCAGTTTGTGCGAGCGCAGCTTTGCATTTTCTAGCCAACTGAGCAGTCACATGCGCACCCACGACGACACCCACATAGCCAAGCCATTTGTGTGTGAGTTCTGTGGCAAATCTTTTAAGCAAAAGATTCAAATGAGCAACCATGTGACCGCTGTGCATACCAAAATTCGGGCATTCAAGTGCACTATGTGTCCCAAGGATTTTCTAACCAAACGAGATCTCAAGGATCACATCAAGGCGCACCTCAATATACGTGATAAAGTATGCGAGGTCTGCCAAAAAGCGTTTACCAATGCAAATGCATTGGTCAAGCATCGTCACATCCACAAGGAGAAGACGCTGCAGTGCAGCCTATGCAATACCAGGTTTTCGGAGCGCGTTAGCCTGGGAGTTCATATGAAGCGTACGCATAAAATCATACGAAATAGCTCAAAAGTTGCGGAAGCAACGGAAACCGCATTGTATTCAAACACATTCCCACAATCAGAAGATGTTTCAAATAAATAATAAAAAAAACACTCCCAAAAATTTCCCATTCGGAATATGTTAGTTTGAATAAAATTCCTTTTTTGGCTTTGGCTCTTTTACAACACTGCAATTGCGGCAACAGCACCGAAGAAATCAGCTGCTTTTGTTTTGATTGGACTACGCGGCGTGCGAGTTGACGACGAACGATTACGTGCATCGTTGTTGCTGACTATGAGAGGTCTTCTGGTTAAATTGTGGACTCAATGCAACACAGGCGCTCTAAAGAGGCTGAACAGTGCGTTGACCTCCACTGCCAGTGGCCGCACATTCAGCAGGCACTGGGCTAATTCCCGTTTATTTGCCACCAGTATTAAAGACAACCCGACACCGGATCCCGGTCAACGTGAGCGGCCACACTGTAATGTGGGCACCATTGGGCATGTGGATCACGGCAAGACGACACTGACGGCGGCAATTACCAAAATCCTATCAAAAAAGGGTCTGGCCGACTATGTGCCCTATGAACAAATCGACCGTGCGCCCGAGGAAAAGGCCCGCGGCATAACCATAAATGCCTGCCACATTGGATATGCAACCGCGGAACGCACCTACGCACACACCGACTGTCCGGGTCATGCGGATTACATCAAGGTAAGTTTTCATATGTATTTATAGCTACCTAACTTAATCAGATTGCTTTGTAGAACATGATTTCGGGTGCCTCCCAAATGGATGGAGCCATATTAGTGGTGGCCGCTACGGACGGACAAATGCCCCAAACACGTGAGCACTTGCTGCTGGCCAAACAGGTTGGCATACAGCGTATTGTGGTGTTTATTAACAAGGCGGATCTGGTCGACCAGGAGGTGCTCGAGTTGGTAGAGATTGAAATGCGAGAAATGTTGTCGGACTTTGGCTTCGATGGCGTCAACAGTCCAGTGATATGTGGCTCTGCATTATTAGCTCTACGCGACGATCAGTCTAAGTTTGGTGTCCCCGCCATTGAGCAGCTGTTGCAGCACTGCGACACGTATATACCGACACCCCAGCGGGATGTCAAGGCACCCTTTATCCTGCCCATTGATAATGCATTTACGGTGCCCGGACGCGGCACGGTTGTGGTGGGCACCATTAAACGCGGCACGATAGCGCGCAATGCCGAAGCCGATCTGCTGGGCTTCAGCCAGAACCTAAAGACCACCGTCAGTGACATTCAGATCTTTCGCAAGAGTGTGCCGCAAGCACTGGCCGGCGATAATGTGGGCGCCCTGTTGCGTGGCATTAAAATTTCATCTGTAGAGCGCGGCATGCTGCTATGTGCGACGGGCTCTGAGGATATATCCAATCATTTTGAAGGCTCCATGTATTTGTTGTCTCGTGCTGAGGGTGGACGCTTCAAGCCCATGCTATCCAAGTACATACAGCAGCTATTCAGCATGACATGGAATCTGCCAGCACGCATTGATATGGGTAAGTTCTTAATGGGATAATTCCAAAGTACGTTCACAACCTAACTCCTTGCAGTGCCCAACGAATCTATGTTGATGCCCGGCGAGCATGGTCAGGTGCGCGTCACATTGCTGCGCAAAATGGTCATGACGCCGGGTCAGGCCTTTACAATACGCGAGAATGGAGCCACTGTGGCAACGGGCATGATAAACCGCCGTCTGCCATCTCTCGATTTGCCCAAGAATAAGCTTTCCAAGGCGCCGGTAATTTGCTAATAGCTTTTATTGTACAAATTCTTGCGTTAAATTTTATTGTACACGTGTATTTAATATAAATTTGTCATATATCAAACAAATGCCAAAGCTTATTTTTATTGTTTGATTAAGCCCAGTTCGGTTTGGGGTTTCGTTCTTCAAAACACGCTAATACATATAACTTACAAAAAATATGAGAATACATAAATCGAATACAGCATCGTTACAAATATAGCGCTCTATGATATATATATATATATACTTATATATATAAATATATAAGTACTTATTATCTTAACAAGTCTCTATATTCCAAACGTTTAAGGCAACAAATCGGCCATTGTATACATAGATTTTTATAACATTTCAATGTTCATTAAGTACATTTCAACTATATGAATACGTTTTTCTTTTCATTTAATGTATAAGTTAAGGTACAAGGTTAATTTATTATTGCAACTTAGGAATGCTTTTTGCTGGAGTTTTACTCCCTCATTTATAATTACAAATAAGTTTCTTATATTGCATTGGTTCAAACCCGTTTTTAACAAGCTACTACAAAACTAAAAAAAATTGGCAAAAATGGCTAGCAGTACGGGTCCAAAAAAAAGGGATGTGAATCGTCGGTAGTTAGGGGTTTCGTTTCTCATTAAACTAAACAGGAACTACATTTACGCACTTAGACTTCTCACTACAATTAGCTAGGACTCGTATAACACAAAACAAAATCAAGTCACGTCAAATGGCAACATTCAAAATAATTGGTTGAAACGCGCACTCGCATACAAAATTTATATTTTTGTGAGGAATTCGTCGAGATTTAAATGCGGCGGCAACTCGATCTCCTCCAGTTTGATGTCGCTGTACTTGAACACCACCTTAAAGGGATGTATGAAATTTTGATCCATTGTAAACTCATCGCTCTTGGACTGAAAGTGAAAGCGTATTGTAGTAAATGTGTGAATGGAATTGTGCTCAGCTTTACCATTTCCCGCGCATTCAATTTCTGTGTTAGCTTATCCAGAAATACATTGGTTATTTCGCTTTCGTAATCATCCAGCTTGTAGGATTTCATGACCTTTAACACCTGGGCGGTGTTAAGCGACGTGCACAGATCACAAATGGTTTGCACATCTTCCTCACTCTTTCGAGACTGCAGCAACTGGGATACTTGATTCAATGGTGCCAATGGCAACAGCACCTCATTTGACTGCAGCATACAACAAAAATTGAATATTTAAGCTGATAGTGGACAGACAACTGACAATCATGAAACTCACCATCTTCTTGTCGCGAACCCAATCCTCAATGCAGCCCAGATTATAGCGAATTATCATGCCCGTTTCCCACATACAGATGTCGCCGCGCAGCATCAAACAGTTGAGCGCGACTGCGCAAACAAAGTACAAGAGCTGGCTAAATATCTGCTCAGCATAGACACTATCCAAGCCAAAGTGCTGGAATTGCTTGTAAAAGTGCTCCAGTTGGCCAATCAGCTGCTTCCAGGCAGGCACATTTCCATGCTCGGGTGATGATGAGGAATCTGTGTTTCGATTGCGCATCCCATGTGCATGGCGAGTGCGTTGTATCTCATCGTTGTTTAATATGGCCGGCACGATCTTGGGATCCAGCAGGCCCTGTATCTGCATAACTAGCGCCTGATATAGATTCACAATTAGATCGAGTATAACGCGTCGGTATTCGTAGAGATTGAAATTCTTCAATTGCTGTTGATTCTGTTTCTCCGTATTAAATTTAACGTATTCCTCAACATCGCCGTATTGCTTTAACAAATTCAGCAGTCTGCAAATTGATGAAAACTATAGAAAACTGATTAATCATTCACTTAAAGATCTTACGTTATGGAGTTGACTAGCCAAATGACGCGGTTCTCTATCGGATGGGGGGTCCTATGCATTTTCTTAATTTGCATCACGAATTTACTGAGAAGCTCGCGCACATCTTCATCGGCATTGGTCAGATCGGTATAGCTGCAAATAATTATAAATCGTTGATCAAGTGGATATATATAGAGAAATATTAGTTGTTTACCGAATGCACATAAAGATAAGATAGGCGGGAAAGCCGGGCAGCAGACCGACGACAGTGCGTGGCGTGAGACTATTTAGCAGACGCTGCAAGATCTTGTCCAGGTCGCTGTTGTGGAACTTCATCAGTCCGAGCGGATTTTGAGACTTTTGTTTGGTCACATTGGCGCCCACATCGTTGTTGCTATTGCTGCTATTGGCCGCCTTATTGCGTATCATTTCCTCCTCCAGCTGACTCTCCAGCTTGCCGCCGTCCTGCCTGTACGCCTTCAGCTTGGCATTGGCCAGCTTTAGCTCATCCTGCACCAGCAGGTACTGTGTTATGGCCTTCTTCAGTTCCAGGCGCAAGTAACGATCGTTCTGCTTTAGCGTGTCCATATTGGCCTCATCGAACTCATCGATGCTCTTGAATAGAACCTCCTGCATTTCGTCCTTTTCATTATTGAGCCGCTCGATGGCCTGCGTCATTTCCATCAGTTTGCTGTTGTGCTCCTCTGTAATGGCCTTTAGCTCCGATTCCAACTGCCTGTTGACCAGTTTCTGTGACTGAAATGCTTCCATTATCTCGTGCACATTGCTGGCATCGCTGCCTCGCAGCTGGAGACTCTCCGGTTCAATGGAGCGCAGCGTTTGGCTCTGCTGCAGTAAAACGGCCTTCAATTGGATGCACTCCTCTCGTCGTCTACGCACTTCCTCTTGTAGGGCTGCATGTTGTGCTGTGAACACAAAGGAAAAAGAGGGGGGAGGCAGGGGAAGGGATTGGATATAACAACTGCAATGAAGACCCATGACGAATGTTACCATTGAGCTCGTTGATCTCAACACCGTGTTTAATGCTCGTGCGCAGCTGATCGTAGTCGCTGCGTAGTTTCTCGTTCTCTACCTCAAGCTCGGAGACGCTATGGCAAGTGTGTGGCAATAATATACATAATTGTAATTAGACTAACTATAGGCGTGTGTATGTGTGATTGTGTGTGTGCGAATGTTTTTTCACAACAACTGCCTAAATGCGCGTTACTTACCGGAATGAATCTTCCGTAGGCTTATTGCGACTTGCCAGCTTCACGTACTGCTCCTGCAAGCCCCTGTGCTTCTGCTTCTCCTCCTCGAGTATGGAGCGCAGCTTGACTACAATGCTGGTGCTATCAAAGAATGAATCTACGGGGAGCACAATTACATTAATCAATTATCCAAACTATGTTTATGATTTAGCCGCACCATTCTTATTCATCAACTCCGGGTGTCTGTGTACGTCCAGGGTGTTCTTGGCGGAGCCATAGCCCACATCATCTTCGTTTTGACTGGATGCATTGCTGGCGCTGCGTGTGTGATGCATGCCATAGGCACCGAGGCCATTATGCTGCTGCTGGTAGCGACTGAGCTCCTCCTTAAGCGAATAGTTCTCATTCTCGATCACCTCCTTGTCCTTGATGGCACGCTGATAGGCTTCGTTAAGCTCCTTATTGTCAATTTCGGTTAGCATGCGCTCTTCGCGATCGCGCTGACTGCCCTCCGCACTCTTGGCCATTTCGATCATGGAGTCCACTTGCTTGCGCAGCTCATCGTTCTCCATGCACCACAGTTGCTTCTGATGACTCCACTCCTCCTGCGAATGACCGCTCTCCTCGAGCAATTGCATTTTCTCATCGCGCTCCGATTCCAACTGTTTGTTGAGCGCCTCGATCAGCTTATCCTTATCCAAACAGGCGGCCTTTATGTTCTTAAATTCGTGCTCCAGGTTTTTCTTCATCTCCAGCTTCATTCTACAAACAGGACAAGAATACTTAGGTACATTTAATATAACAATGGGTTTATACATACTTCAGAACGCTAATCTCGCTGGTCTTGTGCTTCAGATTGCTGTTGTCTCGGTTGAGTTCGTCAATGCGCTGCTGCATGGATATGATCTTGTTCTCGAGGCCCATGTACTTGTTCTCCATATGCGATATTGTCTTTGCCTCGGCCTTCATGCGCTTGAACTGGCGACGCGCCAGGAAACGTCGCACCGCCGATTGGCAGACGATGATACTGCGACGACGTTTCTGGTAGGCTCGACGTGCCAGTACACCCCGCACAAAGCGCTGGATCTGCACAGCGCGGTAGTAATCTCTCATGGCAAAGAACCTGTTGCGTGCCAACATACCGCGCGCATATTGCTGTATGCCGGCAACAGAGTGGCACAGACGCAAGTAACGACGGCGGCACAGCCAGCCGCGCGCATACTTGGACAATATGAGAGCAGCGCGCGCCTCACGCAATTTCTGGGCACGCATGCGTGCCATGTAGCCACGTGCGTGCCGCTGTATACCAAATATAATGCCTTGCAGTTTCAGATAGCGACGTCGCTTAATAAAGCGACGGACCACAGACTGCACAATGGTAATGTACTTCTTGCGCAGATTGGCGCGCACTTGCTCCATATAGGCCACCTGTCCGGCCCTAAAGAATATCTGCGTATTGCCAAAACGATATTTGTCCTCGTCCTGTATCCACTTGAGTACAATATTGCGGCAGGATTGTTTCATGTCATTCTTATCGATTTGGTTGCGATGCGCCAGCAGCTGATATCGCATATAGAAATCAGGATAAAGCCAGCGAGAAGGAAATCCGGCTGCTGAGATGCGCACTGTTTCCAGCACACCACAGGCACGCAGCTGTTGAATAATCTTGGCCGTCTCCCACTTGAAGGCAATCTTGTCATCGTTGGGCTGCAATCAGATGGAATGAGTCTTTGTTTATCGTAAGATTTGATAGTAAAGATTGATATACCTTAATACAGCGCACATAATGCGGTGTCGTTGCGTGCAATGTTGAGATCAGCGAAGCCAGGCTCTCTTGGAACTGAGAGCCAACAGTTTTCTTGTGCTGCTTCGATGGCACCACCTGATCAAGTCAAAGAAATTAGCATTAAACATAAACAATACATGGCATCAGTTAAAGCACATAAATTTTAAGTTGTTTATAAGACAAAAACAAAACTAACTCTTCGACGCGTCTCGTTGAGTTGCTGTTGACCCAGTTGGCGATGTGTACATTGGACAGTGGACAGTGGAGAGTGGTTGATGGACAAAAAGCGTATGGAAATACAAATTAGCAATACAAATATTACAATGATCCTAGTTAAGCAGCTATTGGTGGCCCAGCGGTCGCCTCACAAACCTGTTTGCGATTGGCGCTAATCACAACGCGTCCACCCAGTGTGGTGGTGTTCTTATTCGCATCCGTGCCGAGCGTGTCCACCTCTTCGAGCACCATGACCTGTTTGCAGAGCAACATGTTCGACTGTGCCATCACATTGGTTAGCTCCTTGGATACCGTATCGCGATTCTTCTCCAAAAAACCATTCACATCGTACTCAACCGTGTCCGAAAAGTGTTTAATAAAGAAACCTTAAGGATTTTAGATGTGGTTTAGTGCTTATTCAACTAGTTAATGCAGCACTCACTTGTGGTTCCAAAGCGGGGCTTCTCAAAGTGCGGAAACTTGTTACACTTATCCACCAGCTTGCCCGCCCAGCTCTCATCTGAGCCCTTGGGCATCTGCCAAGCAACAAAAGTATTTTAAAGAATGTAAATAAATTTTAGTTCAAGCTACTAACTCTACACTCCTCGTCGAGCAGATCCAGCACGCCCAGGCGTGATTCAATGAGATCAATACATGGCTGATTGTCGTAGAAATCGATCATGGTCCAGGTAATACCCTCCTTAAGGTACTCCTCCTGTTCTAGCTTAAAGACGTGCTGATTGAATTGCTGCTGGAGCTTTTCGTTCGCATAGTTTATGCAAAACTGTTCAAACGAGTTCACCTCGAACGTTTCGAAGCCGTAGATATCGAGCACGCCAATGAAGCTGCACTGTTTGCTACCGTTAAATAAACTCTTGTTCAGCACATTGACAATATACTGAAAGAGCTTCGCATAGATGTGCTTGGCCAAGGCATCCCTTGCGGCCATCGCCATCTCCATATTGTTCGGTATCAGCACATATTCATTAACCGACTCTATCTTACGCATCAACAGCCAGCGACGCAAATCATCAGCATTTATCTTCAGCAGATCTCCAGTTACTTGCAAGTGCAGATCGTTTTGCTAAAATTAGACAAATAGTTAAGAATTGACAATTATTGTTTATACAGCTGCTGGCCACTCACAAAGATATCACACGATTCGGTGTCTGCCTCGTCGCTGCCCTCCTTGTACGTCTTGGACACCTCTATGTTACCCAAATGCAGAATGCCAGCAAGTATTTTGACAATATCGGCAATTTGTTGTATAGAAAAGCCCAGGACAGTCATGGCCTGTACCGTATCATTAAACTGATCTGCATCCGAAACGCGTTCAATATCTGGCGAGCCGCCCATTTTCAAGAACTGATAATTATCCTGATGATCTGCAAGATCAAGATTAGAATATATTTCTAATAGATTTCAATATTTAAAGAACACTTCTTACCCAGCACCAATTCGGGATACTTGGCACGAGCCGCACACAGCTGATAGAATATATGATAGTTGCGCTCGCCCTGCGCCTGGTAGACCACACGAGACTTCTCCAGCAGATACGTGTGCATGGTGGCGCCCTGCAGATACATGACGCCCATGTGATTCGTGAACAGCAGCTTGGTAAATTTGCCGAAACGTGAGCTATTGTCGTTGCGCGTGGTCTTGGCATTGCCAAAGGCCTCCATGATCGGTGAAGATGCCAGCACCTTGCGTTCGACCTGTGTCTCCGACTCGGAGCCGCCAACGGCGGCAAAATAACGCATCGCATATTTGGCGGACACGGTTTTTCCTGCACCCGATTCGCCGCTAACAATGATACTTAGATTACAATTCTCACGCTCCAGTTTCGTGTACGCCTCCTCGGCAAGCGCGAATATGTGCGGCTCCAGTTCGCCCATGGCATGGCCGCGATAGGCGCGTATAATGTTCGGTCCATACAGCGGCAAATCCGCATACGGATTGATGGCCACTAGTATAATGCCGCAATAGGTGTAAATGATTGAGCGCTCACAGAAACGCACTCGCAGATTATACAGAACGCCGGGCTCGTGCAGGTAGGAGAGTGTGGTTAAATCATTTTGGCCCACCAAAATAGCAGGATTACGCAGTGGTGGCAGATCGCTGCCATCTGTTTTCAGTTTAATCTCTGTCAAGGCGCCCGATTCAGTTTGAATTTTCAATACGCCGGCACCTTGGCGATAGCTCTCCTCCAACGTGGCGCTCTCCCACACCTGTTCCGCATGGGGTATCCAAATCTTGGAACCCTAAAAAAGAGAAGGAGAGAGTTGTGTATCCAAACATTGAACATGACCTGGGACAAGTTTACAACTATTGCGGCTCAATGCCAGGCAACTTGAGCCGCCTAAAGCCAGAGCTTGTCCTCTCTTCCCTCTACCCAACACACACACACACACATAAACATGCTAGTGTCTATTGTAATTGAAGCCAACGCACGCAAGCAAGACACGCGCTTATCAGCGCGAAAGTTCTGATAAGAATGTGATTCATTTCTAATATATTTTCTTGCCTATAAATGCACCATGACTCTGCCATGACATCAATAGGGGCTGTTATAGGCGAAGAAGCGAGCGCGCAAGGTGCTTGTAAAAAATTAAGAAATGCAAAAATGAAATTATCGCACAAGCACACACGCTCACACATACATACATATGCATGCAGCGCACGTTGTTATTGTTATTATGTATGCGTTTTTATAAGCCCCCATTCTTAACACTATGGGGCGCTGAGCTCGACGACGACGACGACGACGACGACGACAGCAGCGTGGAATTGCCAACAATGCACTTGTGGGGCATCAATATAATGTGTAAATGTACCTTTGCGTATAGCATCTCCTCGCTTGACATGATTACAGCCTGTCCGAGTGCCCAAGTACAGCTTCGGGCACTTAATACACTCTACGCACCGCTCTACTCCGGCAACGGCAACAACGAGGCGATTGCTAAGCGCATAAAACCCGTTAGTATTTGTCTTCTCAATTCCAAAATTAGGTTAAGCAAATTTGACTTTTTCCCTTTATGTCTGTCTATTATTTATATTTCTTTTTTTTCGGCTTATATTATTTTTCACTTTTGTGTAATTATAGAACCATTGTTAAGAATTTGAAATACTTTAAATTTATAACGTTGAGCCAGACTGATTTTTAAAAATAAAATGTAGATATATGTTCTGTTACATTGGTAATTTAGAAGACACTGCTAACAAAAACAGAATTCGCCTCGTCGCCGCCTCTAAACTGACTCTGACTGACGTAGAATGTTGTGTTGCCAAAAAGGGCAGGGTTGCCACATGGCTCCACAGTTTAGGCCAAGTAAACAAAGTTACAAATGGTAGGGATTTATTATAAATAGACTGGTGTCATATTTGAAAATGCGCATTTACAATTTTAAAACTCAAAATCTATATCATTATTAAATAGAATTTTCGAATTGAAGGTTTTCGCGGCAACAGTTTACAAGACATTTTTCAACACTACACTTACCAGCAGCCATTTGGCAACACTGCGCGTCTGCGTCACAGCTGCAACTGTCAACATTTCCCGCGCAAAGCCAAAGACGGCGCGTTGTCCACAGCCTCGTCAACAAACAGATTGAAAAGTGCTGCTATTTGTTGTGGAACACGTAAAACTGATATATAAAACTCAGAAAAAATGTCAAGTCCCGCTCGTTCGCCCAGTGTCGGATCTGGCACACCAAAACAAGGAGCGCGTACTCCCACCCGAGGTAAGTTTTTGATTAGGCTTTCTGATTACAAAATTTGCCATGTACATAAATTTCCATGCAGGCATTGCCGCACAGGATGTGGATACGCCCATGCGTATGGGCCCTGGCCGTGTGCCTGGTCGGCCCTCGGATAACATTAGTCTGCCGCCCACGTCGCCGGCTAATGTTAGCTTGCCCGCCACGAGTCCAGCGCGTGGTTTGGGCGGCATGAGTGAGATTGATTTGAGTTCGCCCCTTAACTACGGCACTCCCAGCTCCATGGGCTCGATACGTACACCGCGTTCCGGCATTCGTGGAACACCATTACGTGCGCGCCCAGATATACGCACGGATAAGCGCATGCGTCAAGTGGCCATTGGCGGCACCTCGGGGGTAAGTAGGAAGCTAAACTATTTACTTTGACTTTGAGTATTTAAATTCAATGTGTTTACCATTGCAGCTGGAACCCATAGCCGAGAAGGGATCAGAAGCGACAGATCCGGTATCCGAGTCCTCGGCAGCGCCACAACTGGTCGTCTGGGGCACCAATGTGGTTGTTAGCCAATGCAAGTCCACGTTTAAATCGTTTATTATGCGCTTCATCGATCCAAGTGCCGAGCAGGATGAAATTTCCGAAAACATTGATGTCAATCAGCCGTTGTATCTTCAAAAGTTGGAGGAGATTCACACACTGGAGGAGCCCTATCTAAATCTCAATTGCGCACATTTAAAAACTTTCGATCAGGATTTATATCGACAATTGATCTGCTATCCACAGGAAGTAATACCCGGCTTTGACATGGCCATTAACGAGATGTTCTTTGAGCGTTATCCGGCCGCCCTGTTGGAGCATCAGATTCAGGTACGTCCCTTCAATGCGGATAAGACGCGCAACATGCGCTCTCTGAACCCAGAGGATATGGATCAGTTGATCAGTATTAGCGGCATGGTTATTCGCTCCTCGAACGTCATACCGGAAATGCGTGAGGCGTTCTTCATGTGCAACATTTGCTCCTTCTGCACCACCGTCGAGGTGGATCGTGGGCGCATTGCGCAACCAACACTGTGCACAAACTGCAACACCAATCACTGCTTCCGGATCATACACAATCGCAGCGAGTTTACGGACAAACAGCTCATAAAGCTGCAGGAATCACCCGATGACATGGCTGCCGGACAGACACCACACAATGTCTTGTTATATGCACACAACGATCTGGTGGATAAAGTGCAGCCTGGCGATCGCATTACTGTCACTGGCATCTATCGAGCCACGCCCCTGAGGGGTAAGGGACCGAATGTGAAGAGCGTGTACAAGACGCACGTCGATGTGGTGCATTTCCGTAAGGTAGACAACAAGCGTCTGTACGAGGAGGAGGAGGGGTGAGTTTCTATTTAATTAGTATTTACATATTGATTTTGGCTAAAGTATTTCCTTTTTGCTTGCAGCAAGGACCACATCTTTCCACCGGAACGCATTGAGCTGCTACAATTGCTGTCGAGGAAGCCCGATATATACGATCGTTTGGCACGCGCCATTGCGCCTTCGATTTACGAAAACGATGACATCAAGAAGGGCATTTTGCTGCAGCTCTTTGGCGGCACGAAGAAGAAGCACTCGACACTTGGCCGCCAAAACTTTAGATCAGAGATACATCTGCTGCTTTGCGGCGATCCCGGCACATCCAAATCACAAATGCTGCAGTACGTCTATAATCTGGTGCCACGTTCGCAATATACCTCCGGCCGTGGCTCTTCCGCTGTAGGCTTGACTGCTTATGTGACCAAAGATCCGGAGACACGCCAATTGGTCTTGCAAACGTACGTAATTTAAATACTTATTTGAATTTTATTAAAAATATCTATTATATATTAGGGGCGCTCTCGTTCTGGCCGATAACGGCGTCTGTTGCATAGATGAATTTGATAAGATGAACGATTCCACGCGCAGTGTGCTGCACGAGGTGATGGAGCAGCAGACTCTGAGCATTGCCAAAGCTGGTATCATTTGTCAACTGAATGCACGCACTTCTATATTGGCCGCCGCCAATCCCGCCGAGTCACAGTGGAACAAACGCAAAAATATTATCGACAATGTGCAGTTGCCACATACGCTGCTGTCGCGATTTGATTTGATTTTCCTGGTATTGGACCCACAAGATGAGCTCTTCGACAAGCGCTTGGCCAGCCATTTGGTATCCCTTTACTATGTAACCCGTCACGAGGAGGAGGACACTATGTTTGTAAGCCTTAAGATTTAAGACCTCACGTCTGCCAGTTTGTATTTATCCCTGCTATTACAGGATATGAGCGTGCTGCGTGACTACATTGCCTATGCCCGAGAGCACCTCTCGCCTACACTGTCGGATGAGGCACAACAGCGTCTGATTCAGGCGTACGTGGACATGCGCAAGGTGGGCGCTGGTCGCGGTCAAATTTCGGCTTATCCACGGCAACTGGAAAGCTTGATACGCCTGTCGGAGGCGCACGCCAAGGTGCGGCTAAGCAATGCTGTTGAATTGCAAGATGTTGAGGAGGCCTGGCGACTGCATCGCGAGGCACTGAAACAATCGGCAACAGATCCGTTGTCGGGTAAAATCGATGTTGGCATCCTCACCACTGGCTTGTCCACAGCAGCTCGCAAGAAGCGCGCTGATCTGGTGGCTGCCATCAAAGAGAATCTTAAAAAGAAGGGTAAAGTACCGACAGTGCCGTACCAGAAGCTATTTAAGGAGATTAAGGAAGGCTCCCAGATTGTAAGTTCTTTGTTGAAATTCCATTGAATTAAAAGATATATTAATTTCATTCTTATTTTTAGATGATTACGCGCGAACAGTTTGAAGATGCCCTTAAAGAGGTGCAAGATGAGGGCGCGATAGTGGTTATGGGCAAGAACACTATACGAATTTGTTAATTTCATTGCTGCATAAAAACATTCATTCAGTCATTCCTAGTCTTAAGAAAACAGTTTTTAAATAAAGTTCACGATTTTGTAATTATGCATTAGGGTTGCTTTAACGGCAAATCTGTTTTCGTTAAGTGCTGTCCGATAAGTTTTTGACGCCGATTAATTTAATGTAAATAAAAAGACTGTTACCGCATTATGTGCGTAAACCAAGGTGTTGAAAAATTAGGTTTCCACCATTCTTTAAATATCTTAATTCAGGGATAATGGCCCCCAAAACCGCATATACAAGATTAAAGCCTATAATTTCACCAATTGTGAAAATTTTATGAAAATCGTCGGTACCGTTTTTTAAATATTTGGTAAAGAGTGCAGCAACCCCCTTGTCGACCCCATACAAAATGACCGCAAAAAATCAACGTTGTTCTTGAGCCCTAATTTCTGTACTCAGGGACAATGGCCCTCAATGAACGCTACACCTTTTTGTAGTTACACATTTTAAGAAGCTTTTGGCAATAATTTTAAGCAAATGGACGGTACAGATTTTGAGAAAATAGTTTATTTAGTTCATTCATCAAGCCTATCGAACTGCTAGTTCCAGCGCGAACTGAACCACTGCTTGGATATAGTGCTGTACAATTCTATAAAGTATTGAGCGGGAACAAAACAATTCGAATTATATGTATTCATGAAAAAACGGAAATGACTCTTAAATAATTATATTAATAAGTTAAAGAAAGTTATATAAGAAGTATTTAGTCATACTTAATAGTGCAGTTTATGGAAAAATTGCATTTTTCTCGCACGTGCTGGCAATATTATATTTCATACTGTTAAATGGCGTCAATATTTCAACCTACTTTTATCAAATTCTCCGATAATGGCCTCAAATGCACGGTAGTTGTGCATATAGAGCACGATTTATCAATCATTTTGTCTTTCATTTAATTAAAATCATCGGTACAGGTTTGAAGAAATTCTCATTTTTTTATTTCTCTCATAACATCTTATGGTAATGCAAAAAAACAAGCTGGCAATATTATATTTCTGTAAAAGGGCGTCAATATTTCAACCTATTTTTATCAATTTCTCCGATATTGGCAAACTGAAACTGCAACTTTAAATCATACATGCTTGCAGTGTTTGTCGTTATTTATTTTAACAGACAGTACATTTAAAAACAAAAACATTCAATCGTTGTGAATTGCCAACTCGTTGTGAATAGACATCGATAAATGCGCTCACTGCAATTATATCGATATGTCAAAAATATCAAATGCATCTATTTCGTGCGTGAGTGATTGTTTAATTGCTAATGCCGCTGTGGCTGTTTTAAATTTTTAAAAACGAAATTGCATGGGTGTAATATATCTATTAGAACGTATTGTATGTAACGATGCGATAATTTTGTAGCAATTCATAATTCCGGCGTTTACTCTATAAATGCGCTTTGAGTTATTTGTTTTGTGATTTTGCGTGTGTGTGTGTGTTTTGTACGAGCAACAGGTATACGCTCAACGAGTATCGATATTATATCAAGTAACATATCGCTTAGTTGTAGTTGAGATTTCGTTTGATTCGGTTGAGCCGCGCGTGTTTACTCTCGAAATTTTCCAGCGGGAAAAAATAATTTGCTGTGTAATGTAAAATACGCATAGCTATTTAGAATACATTTAACATTTATTAACAAATTGTCTGCGAATTATTAAGAAGCTAGTTGCTCGCAACTAGTTTTTCCCAATACCACAAACTGCGGCGCAGGTGTAACGCGTTTTCGAGAGGTATCAAAGCAATAACAAGTTCAAACATATCCATAATATCACCTTACACAAGACGCGCGCGTGTGTGTGTGTGTGTGTATTTCTGTGACAGTGTGTGAGTGTCGCGCAATTTGGAAAACGCGTTTGCGGTTTTTCATGCTCCGAAATGGAAAGTGGCTGCCAGCTCCAGCTCCTGCGTTTGTTGTGATCGCTGTGATTGCCGATCAATAAACACACAAATCGAAGCAAACAAAGAGGTGCGAAAAATGAAAGTGTTTTTTTTTTTCTTTCTGTTATTATTTTTGTTGCCAATGTTTGCCCACAACACAACACAACACAACAAAATTGGAAATTGTTTACCTTGTGTCGATTTGAGCACATTCCACATATGAGAGCGTATCATAGAAAGTAGATGAAATATGTTATGGAAAACTGGTCTTTCATACTCTCTTTACCATGAACTTGAGTTTTTCTCATTAATATACAAATATGCAGACACACATACACGATAATTGCGGGAAACTTAAAATACATAAAATACATACATACATACAAGGCTTTAAGCTAGGTGCTCACTTTATCATATTCATAGTCTGAGTTGACGGCCGCCGCTAATTGCTCTATAAATTCAGCGGAACCTCGGCGCATCAGCCGGGTTTGTCCACATAAAAACCTAATGTGGTTTTAGCAAAGGAAAAGTCAAAGACTTTTATAAACGTTAACGGTGAATTTCACCCGTGAAGTGAAATTATTGTTGCCGCTTAAAAGTAACACTACGTGCACTTTTCGCCTTTTTGTTTTTAGCGACAGGTGGCAGCAGCAGTTTGCAACGTGCAACGTGCGACATGCAACGCCAGCGTTCCAAATGGAGAGCGTGCCGACTCTTGACCGCAGGCCACATCGCGTCGCGTCGCGTCTCGCGGCGTCAGCGACTCGTTTTCTCAGTGCATTGTTGTCGTTGTTAGCTATCCTGCGTCTGCGTCTGCGTCTGCGTCCCGTGGCAAGTGCAGATGCCAGCAATACCAATACACATTTAACTATATACAGTGCATACATGTATGTATGCATGTATGTGTATGTGTTCAAATGGCTGTGTCCATGCTTATGTGGGGGTTACCTTTGCCTCCGATGTTGTTCTTGTTGTTGTTGTTGTTGTTGTTCTTGTGGCATCATGTCTGACTGGTCGATCTGGTGGCATGGTCTGAAAACTCGTTTCTCGCCTTTGTTGTTCTCTTTGTTTTTGTTGTTGTTGTTGCTGCCGCTGCCGCTGCTGCTGCTGGCATTCTTTGCTGGTGATTGTTGCCGCAGCTCCCTATTTGTGTGCCTCTTAATTTTTGAAGTGTTTTTTTCTTTTTTTTTTTTTGGTTTTTTTTTATAATTGGAGTAAATTTTTCGCTTGAGGAATTTAATGCCATTGCCGTGCTTGCTGCCCCTTTTTTTCGCACAGTTAATTTTCTTTTTACTCCAACCCGCATCCGAGAATTCATAATTTTTTGCATGAGTCAACATTTTGGATTTTCGAGGGAAATTACATTTGTGTGCAGCTTAGACTTTGTTATTTGGGTTTTTATGCAAAACAATATCGTGTATACGTTGAATTTCATTTAAATTTGGATTTAACTAATTTATGTCGTTATTGGTATTTAGTTTGAAATTGTGAAGTGAAGATTGTGCCATCTTCTTTATTATACCCTTTCTCGTGAAATGTGTGACGCATAGAAGGAGACATCTCCAACCCCATAAAGTTTATATATTCATGATCAGTATCAACAGCCGAGTCGATATCCGTCCGTCTGTCTGTTTCTATGCGAACTAGTCTCTCAGTTTGAAAGCTATCTTTATGAATCTTTGCAGAAGTCCCTTTTTCTGTTGCACGCAGTACATATGTCAAAACCACAACTGGATCGGACCACTATATCATATATGTAGCTGCCATAAGAGCGATCGGTCGAAAAGTAGGTTCTTGTTTGAAAAACATTTTTGTTTACAAAGATATCTTGATCAAACTTGTCCTTTGTTAGTTATACTATGCTCCTCATATAAATGCAAAATCTTATTAAGATCGGACTACTATATCATATAGCTGCCATAGGAACGATCAGTCGAAAAGTAAGTTGCTGTATGGAAAAATTATTTGTTTGCCAAGATATCTTAGCCATACTCGGCATTAACTATTTTCCTTTTGCTTCTTAGATATGGGCAAAGCACTATGAGCATTATGAAAAGGTTGGGTCTGCCAGGGTATTAAATCTTCGGCGTGCCGAAGATAGCCCTTCTTTCCCGTATTTTATCTAAAAATAAATACATTATTATAGAAAAACAAGTAGGAACGACAGCTTTGATAGGATGAAGATTAAATACACCTTTAAGGCTAATGAAAAAGCTTCATTTCTGATCGATTGTTTCCTTAGGAACCATATAATATCGTCCCTTGTGATAAGGTTTTGCAAATGCAAATGTTAGGAATAAAGAATCATTCTTTAGTTACTAAAATTCGATCATTTCTTCCATTTGAGCAAAACTATATAGTGTTTCATTGTTGATAAGGCTTTTCTTTGAGTAAGGAGCAAAGTGAAACTGGTTTCGATCAAGATGTCTTGAAAGACAAAAAGATTTGCTTACCATGATAAGTTGTAAGTTGACAATTATTGCACTATCTACAACAAAAAGACAGACCTGTGCCAAACTTCATATCGATATTTTTTAATTTTTACTTGATTCTGATCATACTGATCTACTCTATGATGCCGGAGAGGTCAACTTCTATGCGTTCTACATTTTATGACAGAATTATTATATAAAGTTATACTACGGCATAAAAAACGCAGTCTATCAAAGCGGAAAGAAAACAGTTAAAAACGCTACTCCCATTGAAATTGGGAAAAACCTTATGACTAAGTTCTCCAAGTGCAAACGGGGAATTAATGATTTCCTCGTGGAGCTTAAAGCCAATTTGCCATAAAGATTTCGTTATTTGTTATAAAACTTTTCTTTCATGCACAACAGAGTTTTCCAATTCGGCCTACTCATATACATATATATACTATATGCAGCAACTGGGCGGATCTGTGCCAAATTTCATGAATATAGCTTACATACCCTATAGCTTCTCGCCCCTTCAAGTTAGAGACTAGTTTTCAAATAAATCTATTACTTTCTATTTAATATAGATTTAATCGTCTTTCATATCAGAAATATATATATTTAATCGGGAATCAAGTTCTATATATATAATGAGTAAGAAAATAAATATACTTATAATAGGGAAAATAAAAGTAACTATGTTTGTCCCCTAGAAATCGATTTTTCGGAGCTCTTAAGAGATTGAGAT